GTGCATTGGAGCAGCCATAGATGAAGTTGTGTGTTCCACAGGACATGGGCACCATCAGCTACAGATCGGCACCAGGATCATGACAGCCACCCTCCATACAATCATGATATCATCTCTGTCATTAGACACCCACGATTGCACTCATCCTCAAACATACACAGCAGCTAAACCATTCCATTATACAGATGACCGTGAGGACCTGAGACACCTGTGGCCCTGAGCTGATGTGACCCAGTAGCCATGGTCCTTATACTGCATGCTGCAGAGTCTGTGAACCTGACGTATTTACCATAGACCCCGCCTAACATAGGATTCTAGCCCTGTCTCACATTCAGGAGATATTGTCACCCTTCACAGGGCTGGCAAACAGCTCCAAAGGGCCACCAGCCATACCAGTCTGCCCACAGAGGTGCTGATCTGCTGCAGGGCCTTCAGAACCATGGCCCAGAGTCACTGTAGTTAGGTAAGGGAGTTAGGGGAGCTCTGGGCTGAGCTGCAGGATTCGAAGGCCAGCAGGTCTTGCACAGTTGATGAGCCCTGGTCCATGAGACAATTGTCTTTAAGGAGATAGATGGCATCCTGAGGATGATGCCAGAGGTAGTCTACTGTTCTCCTCATGGACACTTACATAGGCATACACCCATTGGAAAGCACGTGCACACATGTGTGCGCATGTGCAAACACACACACACACACACACACACACACACACACACACAGATATATAAACTTTTTACATAAGGCAGTACAGGTTGGTTATGAGGCCTCATGATCCGAAGCTCCACCCTGTGCCCCACCCCCTGTCATAGCCTCAGACTCCCTCAATCTCTATCACCAGATGCCTCTGTCAACTGCTGTCCTCACACTGCTGCCACGGACATCTGCTTCTACAGAGGTAATTATTGTTGGTGTGGACTGAGTCTCTGTCTGCTTTTGTGTCTCTGCCTCCAGGGAAAGGCTTTCTCTGGACACTTGTTATGTCCATCATCAGTCCCTGGGATCCTGCAGCTCAGCCCAGAACTCCCCTAACACCCTTACCTAACTGCAGTGACTCTGGGTCATGATTCTCAAGACCCTGCAGCAGATGAGCACCTCTGTGGCCAGACTGGGCTGGCTGGTGGCCCTTTGGAGCTGTTTGCCAGCCCTGTGAAGGGTGACAATATCTCCTGAATGTGAGACAGGGCTAGAATCCTATGTTAGGTGGGGTCTATGGCAAATGTACCAGGTTCACAGACTCTGCAGCATGCAGTATAAGGACCATGGCTACTGGGTCACATCAGCTCAGGGCCACAGGTGTCTCAGGTCCTCATGATCATCTGTATAATAGAATGGTTTAGCTGCTGTGTATGTTTGAGGATGAATGCCATCATGACTGCCCTATGACAGAGGTGATGTCATGATTGTGAGGAGGGTGGGTTCCATGATCCTGGTGCTGGCCTGCAGCCCATGGTGCTCATGTCCTGGGGAACACACAACTTCGTCTATGGCTGCTCCAATGCACTCTTGGGCTCCCTGCAGAAAGCAGAGTAGGGTGTCTTACTCTACCTACGCTGGGCCAGCCACACGCTGCTGATGCTTGGATGAGCTCTGTACTTGTGGAAGGCTCCAGCTGAGAGTGAATTTTTTGTCTCAGCAAAAGCCCTGGATCCTCCACCCAGCAGGAGAGCAGAAGGTGGGCTCTCTGTCTATCTGTTGTCTCTGTTTACCCTTCAGCTCAGCTCAGGCTATGTTCTAGTGTGCCTGAGTGTTCTTTCTTCTCTCTCTCTCTCCTTCCTTTTTTCCTTCCCTCTCTCTGTCATAAAACACTGACACAAAACAACCTGGGCATAGAAAGGGCTTATTTGTCCCTCAGGATGCAGTCCATCATGGCGAGGATGTCATGGGGCAGGAGCACGAGGCAGGCGGTCACATCACATCCACAGTCAGGAAGCAGAGAGAGGTGATGCTGGGGCTCTGCTCGCTTTCTTTCTTTTTTTTTTTTTTTTCTTTTTTTCTATATTTTTTTTTCATTTTTATTGCTCTGCTGGAAATTAAACCCGGGCCTTCGGTGACTTGCAAGTACTCTATTGCTGAGCTGTAGTTATACCTTTCCTTCCCCGTCTACTCTTTGTTTTTAGACCGTGTCTCACTAAGTTGCCTAGGTGGGAACTGGATTTTCAATCCTCCTGCCTCAGCCTCCAGAATACTGCCAGCAGGCCAAGGGATTTTCAGTTGGGGACATCACTTCCCACCCACATGATAGGAGGAGTGTTAGTTTTCTTGCCTCTCACACCCCACATCCTTATGTCTGGATCTTTGATAGATAATTTCTTGCTCATGACACATAGGTCCTGGGCACCGATGGATGCCTTCTTTCATCACAGTTCCAGGATGACTTGACCTCAGGGTTATGCATCTGGTTGTGATTAGCTGGAGAAGCAGCAATTCTGAATTTATTCTTAAAGAAATTGATGTCTGGCCGGGCGGTGGTGGCGCACGCCTTTAATCCCAGCACTTGGGAGGCAGAGCCAGGTGAATCTCTGTGAGTTCCTGGCCAGCCTGGGCTACCAAGTGAGTTCCAGGAAAGGCGCAAAGCTACACAGAGAAACCCTGTCTCGAAAAAACAAAAACAAAAAAAAAGAAAGAAAGAAAAAAAGAAATTGATGTCTGTTTGATTGGCTTGGCAAGGTAAGATGTTGCTGGACTTTGCTTACAGTAGTTAGAGAGAATGCTTTTTTTTTTAACCCAAGCTGAGTCTACACTTAGGGCCAGTGGTGGATGAGGGCTTTACAGCCCAGTTTCCTTTTTTTTTTTTTTTTTTTGTTTCATTTTTATTTATTTATTTTTCTATTATCAGCTTGATACAGTATAAATTCTTATCCTAATAGTGAAATGTTTCACTGAAGCTTGCCCAGTAATTGAGTAAAACCAGAACTTATTATAAGACTAGGGTCCCCCCTGCTATGTAGCCTCCCTGGTTCCGTGGGTTGCAGTCTGATTGTTCTTTGCTTTATATCTAGTATCCACTTCTGAGTGAGTACATACCATGTTTGTCCTTCTGGGTTTGGGTTACCTCACTCAGGATGATATTTTCTAGTTCCATCCATTTGCCTGCAAATTTCATGCTGTCATTGTTTTTCTCTGCTGAGTAGCACTCCATTGTGTATATGTACTACATTTTCTTAATCCATTCTTCAGTTGACGGGGATCTAGGTTGTTTCCAGGTTCTAGCTATTACAAATAGTGCTGCTATGAACATAATTGAGCATGTATCTTTGTATGATTGAGCATTCCTTGGGTATATGCCCAAGAGTGGTATGGCTGGGTCTTGAGGTAGATTGATACCCAATTTTCTGAGAAACCACCATACTGATTTCCACAGTGGTTGTACAAGTTTGCACTCCCACCAACAGTGGAGGAGTGTTCCCTTTGCTCTGCATCCTCTCCAACATTGACTGTCATTAGTGTTTTTGATCATAGCCATTCTGACAGGTGTAAGGTGGTATCTCAGAGTCGTTTTGATTTGCATTTCTCTGATGATTAAGGATGTTGAGCATTTCTTTAAATGTCTTTCAGCCATTTGTGATTCTTGTTTTGTGAATTCTCTGTTTAACTGTTTGGCCCATTTTTTAATTGGATTGTTCAGTATTTTGATGTCTAGTTTCTTGAGTTCTTTATATACTTTGGAGATCAGTCCTCTGTCAGATGTGGGGTTGGTGAAGGTCTTTTCTCATTCTGTAGGCTGTCTTTTCTCCCTCATTAACACTGATGCAAAAATACTCAAACAAAATATTGGCAAACCGAATCCAAGAACACATCAAAAAAAATTATCCACCATGACTAAGTAGGTTTCATCCCAGGGATGCAAGGATGGTTCAGCATATGAAAGTCTGTCAATGTAATAGACCATATAAACAAACTGAAAGAAAAATACCACATCATCATCTCACTAGATGCTGAAAAAGCCTTTGACAAAATCCAACACCCCTTCATGATAAAGGTCTTAGAGAGATCAGGAATACAAGGAACATTCCTAAACATAATAAAGGCAATTTACAGCAAGCCAACAGCCACCATCAAATTAAATGGAGAGAAACTCAAAGTGATTTCACTAAAATCAGGAACAAGACAAGGATATCCACTCTCCCCATATTTATTCCATATAGTACTTTAAGTTCTAGCTAGAGCAATAACTCAGCTCACTTTCTACTTTCCATTCAGCTGGGACCCCAAACCATAGAATGGTGCTGCCCACTGGGTGAGGGTTCTCCCTCAGGACCCAGTCTAGGAATTCTCTCAGATATTCCCAGAGGTTTGTTTCCATGGTGATTCTACATCCTGATAAGTTGAGAAAATAAAACATCATATCAGATATAACAGTGCATGGGATCACAGGAGGTCTCTCTTTAGTGTGAAAATGGCCAGTGTCCCTTTTCTTTATTGTGTCCTCAGATCACTTTGAACTCAGTATCCCCGGATGGCTTAGGGAATTAGAAGGGTAGTCACCTGACTTCCCAGGACCCTGGCCAGCTATTCTAGCCTAATTGGTGAACTGGAGGCCATTGAGGGACCTCATCTCAAAGGTGGTGGATAGAGTTCCTGAAGATGACAACAGAGGTAGTCCTCTGTGTCCACACTCTTGTGCCCACCTGTGAATGAAGACACACAGGAACATGTACCCACACACATGAATATGCACACACACATGAATATGCACGCACACATTAGAAGAGCACAGAGATCTGATCCCCTGAGGCCTGTGCACTGAAACTCCTCCCTCTGCCCACCCTCTGCCAAAACTCATTCAAGCTCAATCTACTTCTCCAGGACGCTGTGTCAACCGCTGAGGTCGGCCCTGCTGACAGTGTGTCTGACTCCACAGAGACCCTTTTTTCCTGTGCTGGTTCTCAGGACAGCTCACTATGGACTTGTTGAAACTCCATCCTCAGCCCTTCGAATCCTACAGCTGAGAGCCAGATCCCCTCTGTCTTCTGTGTCCTGTGTCCAGTAGAGGATGAGCCATGGGTCGCCCGGAACTGGAAGCAGCCGGCTTCTCTCTGGTCAAGCTGGGCAGCCTAGTGGCCATTATCAGCTGTGGCCTGCCCTTTTGGCGTGTGATGAGATTTTCTGAAGAGACCAGCATTTGGGAGGGCATGTGGGTCCTGTGTGAGGCTAACGGACTCAAGAACCTGAAATGCATGCCATACACTTCACACCTGGAACTGCCACAGGACCTACAGGTGTCTCGAGTTCTGGTGGTCATCTGCATCATCATCTCCTACCTGTGTTTGCTGCTGTACATGATCGGGGATGAACGCATGTCATGTGTGTCAAATGTGAATGATGCAAAAAAGATCAAGATGGCGGCAAGTGGGTTGTTCCTGGGGGCTGGTCTGCTGCTGCTGGTGTCTGCATCCTGGGTCACACACAATGTCATCCTTGGCATCACCAACCCTCAAATGGTCTTCCCATGGAAACCAGAGATGGGAGCCTCACTCTACCTGGGCTGGCTCAGCTCCCTGCTGCTTCTGCTGGGAGGGGCCCTTCTGGGTGGGGCCCACCTCAGGTGTCAGGGCCCAAGTAACAATGACCAGCCCAGTGTCTTTGAGGGCTTCAACAATGAACAACCCAGTGATTTTGAGGGCTCCAACAATGACCAGTCCAGTGTCTTTGAGGGCTTCAACAATGACCAAGCCAGTGCTTTGAGGGCTCCAGGGAAGAGCCCTCCTCCCATGTCCATTAGGAGAGGGGTGAGTCTTCCTTCCCTGTCAGTGGAATGGAGAGACAGCAGCACTTCAAGGATGAGTGCAGTTCTTCCCAGCTGCAGTGGGAATCTGTCCATAAGGACTGCCCCACTATAACTTAGCAAAGGGCCCTTTATTATTATACAGTTCACACCTTTAGCAAGTCAATTCCTACACCAAAACCTTTCATTTTAGGCCACCAGAGGGACAATGCCAAATGCGAATTCTCAGGAATGGAATACCACAGTGGTGTGGGTTGTTCCTAATCTAAGTTTTCACAGGATTTGAACCCCTAGGAAATGCTCAGCTAAGACTTCAAAGAGAAGGTCCAGGAGACAGGAGGTAGCAATTACAAAGGACAGATCTAAGCTAGGTGCTAACACTCCGGAGTCAGACCAGCTATAGCTCTTGTGGAATTCTCCCAACAACAATGCATAAGGTGGCCCAGTCTCTCTGTGTTTTGGATTTGTTCATCTGTAGACAGCTCAGACCACCTTGTGACTGTTTATTATTCTCTATCTGTTCCCCTCTGACTGAAGCACCTTTGGCCTGATTGAAGAAGGAGAACCAGGAAGCTCTAAGCCTCGAGTGCCCTCCTCAGCCTCAGGGAACTACTGCTGGGGATACAAGGGGAGAGAAAACTCCTCCATGGACCTGGCTGCGAACTGGCCCAGGGGACCTCCTGGATGCAGCTGTCATGAGTCAGCACACTGTTGTGGTGCATTTCCTGTGGATGCAGCTGATAAGTCACCCATGAACATGGGACCCCAATAAAGTCACTGCTCCCCTAAGCTGGACTGGGATGGAGTCCTTTCAGGGTCTGCTGTGATTGTCTGTATTTGGGGTATCTAGAATCAGACTGAAGGTTAACACTACAGTGTTAGTGTCAGAGCTGTTGGGGGAGGGGCAGGCAGGGACTCAGCCTGGCTGCCACTGCCTAGCCTTCTCTGAAAACTCCCCTAAGGACTTCTTGTCCCAGAGCTCCCCTCTGAACTTACTGATAGTCTGTGGCCCTGGCACATCTACCACCTGCTTGCAGAAGATAAGCCTGGGTACTGGTAACCACCTTCCGCTGGCGGGAGGTCACTGTGGTACTATGGTAACATGTAAGTCAGCCCATGGAGTAGTATAGCCTGACTGAGTTCATTGAGATGCAGTGTGTGTGTGTGTGTGTGTGTGTGTGTGTGTGAGAGAGAGAGAGAGAGACAGAGACAGAGACAGAGACAGAGAGACAGAGAGAGAGACAGAGAAACAGAGAGACAGAGAGAGACAGAGACCAAGGACCATGTCAGGTGTCCCTGTCAATGAAATTTCCCACTGTTTCCTGAGACAGGGTCTCTTTAGCACCCACCTGTTAGGCCTGCTTGGCCAGCCAACAAGCTTCAGGCTCCAGCTGTGTGTTTCTCTCCAGAGCATGGATGACAGGTGTGTGTCCCACACCAGTGTTTCACAGGGGTGCTGCATCTGAACTCAGGTCCTCATGCTGCGACAATTGCTCCACCTGCCATCCCCTCAGATGGACACTGACCTGGAATTACACTTGTCCCCACAGGCCTTGGCCCAGTCTCTCGCCCCTCCTCCTCCTCCTCATATTTCCTCTGTCTAAATCATTCTTTTCTGCACAAGTGCTGCCTCAGGTGTGGTCAGGGCTGCCCAGCACAGCTGTGGCTTACCTCAGAGGCTCCCACTGTGTGTGTTCTGGAGCAGGGGATGGCTGTGTGGAAAGGCAGGGCTGGGTGTTCCACATTGGCTCAGTGACTCCTGTGAACTCGGGGGTCTTTGTTTCTCTTCCCGTTGCTGGCACAATATGTCATCCAGAGGCGACTTCAGGAGGGAAGAAAGGGTCCATTTTGACTCACAATTGAGGATACAACAGAGAAAGCGTGGGAACAGGAGTGTGAGGTGGCTTGTCACACTCCATCTGCAGTCAGGGAGCAGAGGGAGATGGATGCTGGTGCTCAGCTTGTCTTCTCCTTTGATTTTCAGTGTGTGTGTGTGTGTGTGTGTGTGTGTGTGTGTGTGTGTGTGTGTGTGTGTGCGCGTGTGTGTAGGAAGTTGAGACAGGGTCTCACTCCGTGGCCATGGCTGCCTTGGGCCTTGTTGTGTTGACCAGACTAGATTTTCACTCCCAGATGTCCACTTGCCTCTTCCTCCTGGATTTGTAGAATCCTGATCCCAAAGAGGAGAGGGGGTGGGGTCCTGGGCTGGAGGCTGAGTAAGGGATTAATGGGCTCTGAGCTGTGCAGAGAAGTGAACTCTGAGAAGTTTGGGAAGGGCGGCCTTGGATTCCTCCATGGATGCAGAATGCCCTCTATGTCTGTGCAGATGCTTCTGGTCAATGTAGCAGTGGCTGGTAAGTGAAGGGGTCCCAGCTCTTGGCTCCCAGGATCCTGAGAGATTGAGAGGACCAAGCAGATGCCACAACAGGCTGCTCAGTCTTTTCTCAGAGATCAGGCCTCAATTTCAGTTTCCTAAGACTTAAGCAAGCAGTTTCTGGGAGAGCCATAAAAAAAAAGGACATGCACAGATGTCCCTGTCAGCAGGGACAGGGAGATAGGATGCACCAAGCCTGGGCCACTTAGCCAGCCCCCACAACAGTAAATGCTTGGCCAGCCAGCCTCAACACCAGCTCAATGACAAAGACTGGGACTTGTCCAGTCTTGCCAAAAATGGGTAACTGTAACCCCCAACTAACCCTAACCAATTAAAAATTACTAACGTGATTGCCACTCACATAAACCATTCCAAGTCTGTTCCTATGTAGTCTGTAGACACCAAGAGCCCAGTTGCTTTACCCTGTATAAAAACCCTGCCCCATTGCTATTCAGGGACTCTCCTGTCTGCTGCCGCCCTCAGAGGGACAGAGAGGCCCGAGTTAACTCCCAACAATAAAAAGACTCTTTGCTTTGGCATTGGATTTGGTCTCCTGATGGGCTCTGGGGGACTCTGGGTACAACAAGATGAGCCTGTTTAACAGACTGTGAACCATTCTTTGATCATGTGACAGCCCAAGTGTTTTGAGGAACTCGACTTTCCCCTTTGTCCTTCTTGTTAGAATTCTGCCCTCACTCCAGCTGCATGACCGACTACACACGTGCAGTTCAGGAGTTAAGCAAAGGGTCTTGTGTCATCAGTGTGTGCTGGGGATTAGGTCCGCATGGCGTGGTCACCCAAACAGCACTTGCATGGTGTAGCTCCGTAAGCCCGCCTGAGCGTGTTCATTGGAACCCTTAAAAAGCCGGACACAGACCCCACCTTCTCTCTCTCTTCTGTTCTCTCTTCCCCCACCATCTTTCCCTCTCTCTGCACGTGCTCCTTACCCAGGCTGGTTCTCTTGTTTCCCCCTCCCCAACCCCACACACCCCTCTTCCTCCTAATAAAGCTCTGATACTGCTACTGGGTATAGTCGTGGCCGTGACCTTTCCAAGAGGTAACCAGCCCAGGTAACAAGCACTGCTTATCATTCTTAGACGTCGCCTCCTCCTTCCTTGTCTTTGTTCCTGATGGGGACATCCTTTGTATCTCAGGCTGCCCTGGAAGGTGTGGTCAACGTGTCTTATACCTCTCTGTGCTCAGACAGAGAAAGACAGTTGCCAGCTGCCATCCTCACTCTGAGGGATTTTAGCTTTTCTTGATTTGTTTGGTTTTCTTTAAAAGTTTTTTTTTTTTTTTTTTTTGAGACAGGGTTTCTGTGTGTATCCTTCGTTGTCCTGGAACTAGTTTTGTAAACCTGTCTGGCCTAGATTATAGAGATCTGCCTTGAAGGTGACTCCTGAATAGTGGGGGCTTCCTCCTGGACCCTGGAATAGGCACAAACCACACTCAAACACCCGTTTTCACAGAGAATTCCTTTATTAAGCCAATGGAGAAAAGTTACAGTGGCTGGAGGCAGAAAGCAGGACCAATGCCCTTGCAGGGGTAATTTTGAAGAGGAGAAGGGGAGGTCTGTGGTAGAATGGGCTAGGATGTGCTGGTAAAGAGATAGAGTATGAGGGAGAAGGGGAAATTGTAGTGCCCGTTCTAATTGGTCTTAATAATAAAATCCTGGAGTCAGGTATCGGGGTAAATGCTGAAAGATCAAAGAGACAAAGGAGCCAGCCACAGCCACCTCTCACCTCTCCAACTCCTCAGTCTGAAAGGGGAGCTGAGCTCCTGTCTCCTCCTGCCTTATAGTCCCCTCTCTGCCCAGCCTTATCACTTCCTGTCTCCACCTCCCTAGTGCTGGGATCAAAGGCATGAAATCCCAAGAGCTGGGATTAAAGGTGTGCGCCACCACCGACCAGTACACTTGTGTTTTTAAATGTAGTTTAAGGTATCAAACTCACATGATCCTAACAGTATAATGTGTTCTAGTTTACTTTTTGTTAGTGAGATAAACACCATGACCAAAGCAAGTTGAGGAAGAAAAATGTTATTTGTTATTGATGTTGTTTTTATCTTCAGTAACAGGGAAGCCATGGTAGGATCCTGGAAGCAGGAACTGAAGCAGAGACCATAAGGAACATCTCTAACTGGCTTGTTCCCTTCCTTATACAACTCAGGCCCACATGCCTAGGGATAGTGCTGCCCTCAGTGGGCTGGGACCTCCCAGGTCAATTGGTAGCCCTGAAAATGACCCACAGCTATGTCCAGTGAACGATCTGATGGAGGCAATTCTTCAGGTGAGGATTCCTCTTTCCAGATGTCAAGTTGAAAACCTAGATTAGCCACGAGTTGTGGGAAGCATTTGAGTGGCTGAGCTATCTGCTTTGGGTTTTCTGTCTCTGGCTGTCTGTCTGTCTCTACTTGTCTCTCTGTGTCTGTGTGCCCTGGTTATTTTATTTTTATTTACTGATTTATTCATTCATTTGTTTATTTGTTGATAGTCTCCTTGATGCAAGCTAGAGTCATTAGGGAAGAGGGACTCTCAACTGAGAAAATGTTCCCATAAGATTGGCTTCTAAGCATGGATGTCAGGCATTCTCTTGAGTAATGATTGATGTGGGTAGGCCTGTCCACTGTGAGCG